CGAGCATTTAAAAACGTACAACAGCTTATGTTAAACTCATTATGGGAAACAAGATCATTAAAGTTGATATACATTGAACAAATAATGCGTTCGCTAGTTGAAACTGAAATAAATGTTTTGGACATTTCTGGAAACTCAATTGTGAACGCTGAATCTGGTTTTATTAATATTCCTCCAAAGTTAGAAGAGCTACATGCTAGTCTTAACCGGATTGAGGTTGATATATTATTAAATAAATTAATATACTCGCCTGAAAATTCTCTAAAAATGCTAGACTTACAAAATAATGAAATATCAAGACATATGTCTCTGTAAGTAATGCATTAAAAAAAACTACATAGTCATGAATAAAAGGATAAATAATTCGATGCATCCATCCACCAATAAATCCACCCATTTATGCAACTTTTCATCCATGCCTCGTTGCATCCATCCATCCATCCATCCATTAATGCATCAATACATATTTGCATCCAAGCAACCATGCATCCATGCTTCCATGCATCTATGCAACCATCCATGCATCTGCGCATCCGTCCATCCATCCAGCATACATACATACATACATACATACATACATACATACATACATACATACATACATACATACATACATACATACATACATACATACATACATACATACATACATACATGCATGCATGCATACATACATACATACATACATACATACATACATACATACATGCATGCATGCATGCATGCATGCATGCATGCATGCATGCATACATACATACATACATACATACATACATACATACATACATACATACATACATACATACATACATTTTACATACATACATACATACATACATACATACATACATACATACATACATACATACATACATACATACATACATACATACATACATACATACATACATACATACATTACATACATACATACATACATACATACATACATACATACATACATACATACATACATACATACATACATACATACATACATACATACATACATACATACATACATACATACATACATACATACATACATACATACATACATACATACATACATACATACATACATACATACATACATACATACATACATACATACATACATACATACATACATACATACATACATACATACATACATACATACATACATACATACATACATACATACATACATACATACATACATACATACATACATACATACATACATACATACATACATACATACATACATACATACATACATACATACATACATACATACATACATACATACATACATACATACATACATACATACATACATACATACATACATACATACATACATACATACATACATACATACATACATACATACATACATACATACATACATACATACATACATACATACATACATACATACATACATACATACATACATACATACATACATACATACATACATACATACATACATACATACATACATACATACATACATACATACATACATACATACATACATACATACATACATACATACATACATACATACATACATACATACATACATACATACATACATACATACATACATACATACATACATACATACATACATACATACATACATACATACATACATACATACATACATACATACATACATACATACATACATACATACATACATACATACATACATACATACATACATACATACATACATACATACATACATACATACATACATACATACATACATACATACATACATACATACATACATACATACATACATACATACATACATACATACATACATACATACATACATACATACATACATACATACATACATACATACATACATACATACATACATACATACATACATACATACATACATACACACACACATACACACACACACACACACACACACACACACACACACACACACACACACACACACACCACACACACACACACACACACACACACACACACACACACACACACACACACACACACACACACACACACACACATACATACATACATACATACATACATACATACATACATACATACATACATACATACATACATACATACATACATACATACATGCATACATACATACATACATACATACATACATACATACATACATACATGCATGCATGCATGCATGCATGCATACATACATACATACATACATACATACATACATACATACATACATACATACATACATACATACATACATACATACATACATACATACATACATACATACATACATACATACATACATACATACATACATACATACATACATACATACATACATACATACATACATACATACATACATACATACATACATACATACATACATACATACATACATACATACATACATACATACATACATACATACATACATACATACATACATACATACATACATACATACATACATACATACATACATACATACATACATACATACATACATACATACATACATACATACATACATACATACATACATACATACATACATACATACATACATACATACATACATACATACATACATACATACATACATACATACATACATACATACATACATACATACATACATACATACATACATACATACATACATACATACATACATACATACATACATACATACATACATACATACATACATACATACATACATACATACATACATACATACATACATACATACATACATACATACATACATACATACATACATACATACATACATACATACATACATACATACATACATACATACATACACACACACACACACACACACACACACACACACACACACACACACACACACACACACACACACACACACACACACACACACACACACACACACACACACACACACACATACATACATACATACATACATACATACATACATACATACATACATACATACATACATACATACATACATACATACATACATACATACATACATACATACATACATACATACATACATACATACATACATACATACATACATACATACATACATACATACATACATACATACATACATACATACATACATACATACATACATACATACATACATACATACATACATACATACATACATACATACATACATACATACATACATACATACATACATACATACATACATACATACATACATACATACATACATACATACATACATACATACATACATACATACATACATACATACATACATACATACATACATACATACATACATACATACATACATACATACATACATACATACATACATACATACATACATACATACATACATACATACATACATACATACATACATACATACATACATACATACATACATACATACATACATACATACATACATACATACATACATACATACATACATACATACATACATACATACATACATACATACATACATACATACATACATACATACATACATACATACATACATACATACATACATACATACATACATACATACATACATACATACATACATACATACATACATACATACATACATACATACATACATACATACATACATACATACATACATACATACATACATACATACATACATACATACATACATACATACATACATACATACATACATACATACATACATACATACATACATACATACATACATACATACATACATACATACATACATACATACATACATACATACATACATACATACATACATACATACATACATACATACATACATACATACATACATACATACATACATACATACATACATACATACATACATACATACATACATACATACATACATACATACATACATACATACATACATACATACATACATACATACATACATACATACATACATACATACATACATACATACATACATACATACAGACAGACATACATACATACATACATACATACATACATACATACATACATACATACATACATACATACATACATACATACATACATACATACATACATACAATGTTTAATTCTAATGCGTTCTGTTTTGCTTTTTAACTTTCAGTTCCTACCTTAATAAATTACAAGACACGGAAAATCATTTTCTCAAGACTGGAAACGGATTATCTAATTTAGAAAGGTTGTATCTGGGGGAAATATCATCTGACTATGGAAATAGATATCTGAATGGCCTGAACAACCTGACATTTTTATATTTATCAGGCTCCAAATCGTATTGTTATGGTTTTTTAAGCAACAGGAGCCGTATGACAAACTTTCCATTGCTTCAAGAAATTGAAATGGAGAACTGCTACATTGAGGACATACCAGTTGAATTTAAATTTCCCAAAAGTCTTAAAAACATCAATTTAAGCAACAATAAGATAAACTATATTCGACCTTCGAGTACTAGACAAACTAATTTAACCTACCTTAATTTGTCATTTAATAAGTTTACTGGTCTTTCAGATGAAATGTGCAAAGAATTAAAAAGGTTAAAATCTGCCAATCCAAGATTTGTTGTAAATTTCAAAGGCAATGATTTTTATTTTATATGCACAAATCTTAGGATTCTGAGTTTGCTAGCGAAGAGCCCACACATCTTCGTTGACTTAAAAGATATAAAATTTACAACAGAATCACATTTAGTTTTACGCTACAATGAAATGGTTGCACAACTTCCAAGACTGACACAAAATTGTCTGATCAAAGAAAACTTCAGTTTTGTGTTGACGACATTTTTCACCCATCTCCTGTGTTTGCTTGTTCTGGCCGTGTTTTTCCATTACCGCTGGAAGCTGAGGTACCTCTACTTTATTGGTCAACGGCGGCTGCACATCGGTGGACGTTTGGTAAACTACAACCCACAGGTTGATGTTTTCATCACCTATGATGAGGTAAAAAAAACAGAATAAACAATCTTTTTGCACAATAACTAGTATCATAAAAAGAGTCTTTAAAAAATCTGCAATAATAATGTTCATCAATAAATTATAGCATTTTAATTAGTACATATAAAAAAGTGAATATGCTCAGTAAAAAAATACTAAATTCCTGGTTTTTTGACATAATGGGTTTGTTGCACTTTCTGACACTTCGTTCATTTTTGTATTAAGAAAATAATAACTTTAATGAGAAAAAATAACTTTGAATGTTTAAAATACCTTTTTATGACACTATTGTTTAAAAAATAATCAATTTTTCCCAATCTTACTAGCTCTTGACGAAAAGTTTTAAATCCGTCATCATATTGCATTTAGCATCATTTGAAAGCTGCATTTTTCATGTATTTTATAATCTTAATTTCCATAATCTCGAAAACACCCAAAGCTTTCAATCGGCTTTGCAGTTTACACATATATGGTATTTTTGTGACCTACCTTTCGTTACTTTTGGCTGTTTATCTCATTCCCCGGTTTTAACACAAAAAAACAATGCCCACAATACTTTCAGTATTATTGTTCTTCATGCGACAATACAACTTTTGTCAGGAGGAAATTGTGATAGCTTTCTTAGAAAAAAGTAAATGGTAAAAAATATGCAAATTTTAAAACTTTTGAATACTAAAAATGGTACGATTTTTAGACCTTGTAAAATTCTTACTAGAAGTTATTTCAAAAAGTTGCCGTGAGAAAAGATTTACTATATACTGAAATATAAGCAGTTCAAATTTGATTGTTATAAGTGCATACATAAAAAATACTTTAGCATTTTTAAAAGTAAATAAAAATTCAAAATGGCGGAGCTTTTTGGGGTTTCCATGTTATCTAAAATTGTTTTCAACCCTTTTTTCGCTGTTTAATACTTACTTTTATGTGCCAAACATGGTTAAAGTATTCAAAAGGCTTTAGATCTTAACTTGTAAAAAAACAGAAAAAAAAACAGAGCATATCCCCTTAAATAAAAATATAAATAGGCTAAATTCTATTGAAAATTATTTCTTTTATTTATTTCTTTTATTTATTTCGATTATTTTGTTTGCAGTTGAGTATTGCTAGCTTCAGCATCGAAATTATACTAAATTATAATTTGTGTTGTGAACAGGGTGAACCGAGAGTACGCCGGATCCTTAAAAATATTATCCTGCCATTCTTGAGAGAAAAGAACATCTCTTACATTTTAGGAGAAGTGGACTTTCCAGGTGGGGACATGGTGTCACACATCAGTGGAGCTATAACTGGCGCAAGAAAAACGCTGGTCTTGTTGTCTGAAGATCTTTTCTTTGATCACTACCGAGAGTATGAGATGAACCTGGCCATCATGCGAGAGTTCAATGTACGAGGTCAGGTTATCGTTCCTGTCTTTGTTGAGAGGGTCGACTTGAATACATACCCACCTGAAGTAGAAACTTATTTAAGGAATCAGCTGCACAGGTGTCTGGTCTTCAGAAATAACCAAACTTTCTGGACACTTCTGCAACATGCTATTAGAAACGATAAGTAGTTTGATATTTTCAACCTAGTCAGGTGTCTTTATATTTAAAACTATATATTGCTATATATTTTTCAATGTATAGTTTTAGCAAACTAGTTTTAAAATTATTAAATTTACAATTTTGTTAACAGTAAATTCTTCTTCTTCTTCTTCGTTCTTAATTATTAGTGTTGAAGGGGGTCGAGATTTATCTGCCAGTGGGTTTGAACTCGAGAATTTGTTCGAATTTATCAACCATGAGCTTTTTGCCGACTCGACCACGCCTCCAACACAATTAAGCGTTACGTGTCAACTGGTTATGCGCCATTGAGGCCATTGACTCCGATTTCAGCCTGCTTTTCTTTTTGGATTTGCTTCCATAGCCTTTGTCCAACCAAGAACAAACTACAAGGCAGCAGTTGTTTAATTTTGGAGTTGTGTCTCCTAGAAGAGTGGCTGTCCCCAGCTAACGAGCCTCATCTGCCCGAGGGTTCGAACTCGAGACTTTTCGGTTTATCAACCATGAGCTTTTTGCCAACTCGACCACGCCTCCAACACAATTAAGCGTTACGTGTCAACTGGTTATGCGCCATTGAGGCCATTGACTCCGATTTCAGCCTGCTTTTCTTTTTGGATTTGCTTCCACGAGCCGACCCGCTGAGTATCATACGCCGTTATTTAGTTGTTTTATTTTCTACTTTTCAGTAATTCATAATTTGTGAATTCGACAGTACCAATGCTGCCACTGAAAATATTTGCTTTAAAACATTAACCCCTCCCCCCTTTCCCTCAACCGCTAACCTACACCCTCCCCCCCCCCCCCGTGAAAGCAGCCTCCTCTTAGTTACCTCCTGTAAGTTTAAAATCGCTTCAAACTAAATTATCTGCCCCTAATAGCCGTCACCAAACCCGTCTCTATGATTGTAAAATGTAAACAGCGTGAACACAGCTCACCAGGCCATGTGAGGGGGTGGGGGTGGTAGCGATAGAGAGGAAGAGAGGGGACTGTAAGGCGCGCTTGCAGCTTGTTTTCTAGCGGCAAGCAGAAGAGAATTATATATATAGATAGCCTTTGTCCAACCAAGAACAAACTAACTACAAAGCAGCAGTTGTTTAATTTTGGAGTTGTGTCTCCTAGAAGAGTGGCTGTCCCCAGCTAACGAGCCTCATCTGCCCGAGGGTTCGAACTCGAGACTTTTCGGTTTAGCAACCATGAGCTTTACCGACTCGACCACGCCGAACCCTTAACAGTAAATAATTAAAGAGTGTAAGTGTAACCATATCTACCCAATTAAATGTTACCAGTGGTACGGTTTATTCAGATTAAACAAATCAGTAGACCAAAATTGTCAGGAACATTGCTTTTAATTTCAAAGTCCGCTCCGAATTAAAATATGATAACCCATATCTTTTTTTTCTCTTCACTTTTGATATACCAGTCTGTTTGTAATTTCGTTTGCTTTCTGCTTATTTTCTCTGTTGATGTTATGTCGATTATTTTCTTTATTCAAACATATTTTTCCCCTCTAATATCTCTTTTATTTGTGTGCTGTTTGTTCGACAATTTATGCTTTTAAGAATTATATTTTTTATTAAATTTTTGTCTGTAAAGTTATTGGAATGTCTTTTTGCTCTTTTTGGATATATGTTTTACTTAGATAATTAATTTCTCAGCTTTAATTATGCAAGATTTTAGAATGGGTGCTTCACAAATCAACTAATTTCGCTCAGTATGCCTCTACATTCCCTTTTCTCCCATTTATGGGATACAACTGTTAGTTTACGTGAATATACCAACATGGAGCAGATCGTGACCCATGTCAATATATCCCATCTGTTAGAATTTCTTCTAACCAGTTCAATACGAAAGAAAAAAGTGATTTAAATAATCACAATAAATAAATGAATGATAAATATTGATAATTTTCATAGTTACATTAAAATAAATGCTAATGTAAACAATAGGGACACTCTAAAGTTAATACAGTGGTGTCTGGAAGAGAGAGATAAAAAATTGTTTGAAGTGTCTAAATCGACAAAATTATTCCGTCGACATTGTCTCTTGAAAGCAATTTGTAAGTAGGCCCTACTTAACAAATGTTAATGTATTGTTAGATAAAAATATAAATCTTAAAACCAGCCCGTCTGAACATAAAAGATAAGAACAAAAATACGTTCAGCAAGTATGACACATCATCTGATACAAGAATCTATGAGAGGACACGCAAGTTGTCATCTATGTGTCAAATCTTTCACGTGATTTTCATACTAAGTAAAACGTTTTACATTGTGATGTTTTCAATTTGACAAATCTAAACTTCTTTTTACATCCTCTCTGCCAGTGGTTTCTTCGTAAATATCAGTTTATTTTAAAGAAGCAAACTCGAAAATGCTGAATTTGGTCATGTTAGTAACCGGATGTTTAGAATAATTTGAAATGCTTTGTCGACCTTAATTATATGAGAACAATTGTGCCATGTTGGATATTATAGCTTAATGTTCTAGAGTTTAAAACGAGCAAGAAATATTTTATTTTGCATAACACTGTCTACGGCATTTGTAAAATTGTTGAACAAGAAAGTATAATTTAAAAGTAGTAGTATATTAGGTCACTTTTGGAGCGAAGGCGCAGGCGCAGGCGCTGGCGGATGCGCAAAGGATATATAGTAAAATACTCGGATGCGCAGGGGGATGCGCAGGCGCCGCAGGTACAACGAGATATAGTAAAATACTCGGATGGGGAGGGGAACCGCAGGTACAACGAGATATAGTAAAATACTCCAGGCGCAGGCGCAGGCGCAGACCGCAGGTACAATGAGATATAGTAAAATACTCCGGATGGGGATGCGGATGGCGATGGGGATGGGGATGCGAATGGGGATGGGGAAGATGCGCAGGGATGCGGATGGGGAGTAGGTCAGTAGGTCACCACCGGTGACCTTGTGACGTAATCACCGCAGGTGACCTAGTTACGTAATTTTAATGAGTTTTTTTAATTAGTTTGAATTTAATTTTTAAATTTTAATTAATTTTTATTAACGAGTTACGTAATTTGATTTTAATTATTTTTATTTTGTTTAATTTGTTTGTTTACTTGTTGTTTAATTTAATTACTTTGTTTATATTGTGTAATTTTTCATTAACTAGTTACGTAATTTGATTTTAATTTTTAAAATTTTTAATTTTTAAAAATTTATTTTATAATTAGTTTAATTATTATTAACTAGTTACGTAATTTGATTATAATTTTTAAAATTTTAAAATTTTTTTTAATTTTTTAATTTTTAAAATTATTATTTTTAAATTTTATTTTTAATTGTTGTTTACTTGTTGTTTAATTTAATTACTTTGTATAATTTATTTGTTTGAAATTCATTTTAATTAGTTTGATTTTAATTTCTTTGTTGTACGCCGTTTAAAATAAAAAGACTAACACTAACGTGTTCTTTGTGCCCCGACTTCCATTAGCCACAGCTGTTACTCATTAGCAACAGCTGTTACTTATCGATCCGCCCGTGAACCTCCCGGCGCTGCGCGTTTTTGAATGGGAATGTATTGATCGACCCGTGTCGAGTGTGTGTATCCATTAACCATCAGGCGACAGCTGTGCATCAGTTGTGCAACAGCTGGTACCACACTTTCCACTAACGTACAATCTCATGGGTTTTTAAGTTTCCTGGTACGAGTATGTTAAACGTACACACACACACACACACACTAAAATTAAAACAAAAGTTTTCTTATATTTTATTTATTTATTAACGTTTTTTTCCAAGTCATCATAGGCTTTTAAAATATCACGGTGTAAACTTAACAAGTGTTCAATACATATTTGATTATAGTAATATGGGTGAGAGCGGTGAGTAGGCGGGTGAAGGGTGAACAGGTGGTTGAAGGGTGAGCAGGTGGGTGAAGGGTGAAAGGTGGGTGAAGGTGGAGAAGGTGGGTGAAGGGGGAACACGAGTAGGAGTAAAGGATATATAGTAAAAGACTCTACCACCTGAGTGAGGTGGGTGAGGAGGCGGATTGTAGTTTTAATTTTTTATTTTATTTTTTCATCATCTGTTAACTTTAAGGTTCTATAACTCTATATATTTAAATACACTTTTTGATTCAAACGAGTTTACTTTTCCTAATGTAAGTACATGTAAAGAGGGATTTCCTATAGATCTTTAATGAAGTAGGCCTTGTTGACTATGACTGGTTGTCCAGGTGTTGACATGATACACTTTTTTGAGATACACGTACACACACACACACACGTACACACACACACACACTCACACACACACAGACGCGCGTGCGCGCGCGAAATTCATACTAGGTCGGTAAAGGCGGAGAGAACTTATAGGTATACATTATCATGGCGACAACAAAAGCGACCCTTATTTTATTTACATGAAAGCGTGTTTTCCAAAAAGTGTCACCAGGCCGTTGTCATTTTCGCAGCGGGGTTTATTTTAAGTGCACCCTGTGCACGTTTGTTTACATTTTAAAAGACGTGTCGCGTGTCTTCCCCACATGTCTTCCCTAATAGAGAAACGAGAGCAAAGACAACTATTCTAAAATTAGAACAGCCTTGTTTACAGCCACGAGTATCGTCCCTTGTGAAAAAATTCGCGTCAGAATCCTTAACTAAACAGTCAATTTCTTTAACAAGTTAAAAATAATTTAGGAAGACAAAGGTTAACAACATTAGACGCCACCGTTTTTGTTTCCTTGTTTCCTGAGTTTGTTCCCTTGGATTAAATAAACTCCTACATTGAGACATTTTTAACACACTCAGTAATTCATTTTTTAAGCATGCTTTTTAAAAAAACAACTATCAGATCCTATCTTGTGCGATACATTAATGAATTACATACTTTATTTGATAATAGCTTCACAATAAATAAGCTGAAAAAATATGTCGGAAAGTTTTTTTTTCCATTATTTTACTTTTAATTGTAACTGAAGGGACGGCGTGGTCTAATGATAGAGCGTTGGGCTGCCAGCCTGAAAGTCTCGAGGTCGGATCTCTTCCCAATGAATCTCTAGGTCTAAAGAGGAGCTTTGCTTAAATACATATTTCTTAAACAAACACATGCAGTACATGAAGATATTCTTACAAACAATTAAAATTAAAAGCTGTACATTTTCTATGTAGCTTGGGAATTCTTGTTTATTTGTCGGAGTTAAAGAGTTTCCATAATAAGAATTATTACTTTAAACTATACTTATTTTACCTACAGTATTGAGGACATACTAAAAATGAATTATACAAACAGATCGCACAATTATTTACTACGCATCAACACACAAACAGCTCAAAACACAGATTTTAACAGTCTCATACAATCCAAATGCCCTCAGATCCTCAAATAAACAACTTCCCATCACCACAATCATCCCATCACTCATCGATCTAGACCAGGGGTCTCCAAACTTTTCAGCCCAAGGGCCGCATTGACTATCAAAGTTCAGTTCGGGGGCCAGTTTCTACCAGGCATGTCTTTGATTTTTCTGGGCACAATTCCTCAGCTATCACCAACAAACGTTTTTTTCCGTGGACAAAAAGATCTCCGCGGGCCGGATGAGAGTACCTCGCGGGCCGCATCCGGCCCGCGGGCCGTAGTTTGGAGACCCCTGATCTAGACTGATAATTGATGAACCTTAAGCTATGGATAACAGGTATGACGCAGAATGACAACGATTATTGGCAGCAATGAAAGAAGGTGAAGACTTCAGAGCCAAGCTTGGAGTCAGGGCAGCTTCCCAAGGTTTGGTCACTCATGCTGACTGACAAATTGAATGGTCAATTCAAATTGTTTCTTATTAGAACAGGTCTAAACCCGGTGTAATACAAGCAATGGTAACGTACCTTCGTCCATTACATTTGAAGCACCGATAAGATATTTTCCTGTTGCCAACCCCACACGAGCTCCATTATCTGTATCAACTCTCCCAGCACGTCCGCTGTGACGTCCACATGTGTAGCTCAAGCTCAATCTGCTAACACGCCGATTTAAAGATCGTACACTGGTTAGTCAAGCCTGGTACATGGGACATGGCTTTTGGAACGATGACCTTTGCCAGGCTTGTTACGATCCCGTCTAGAGGTGGGATAGACTAGCGATGTGGCCTATCCCCCACCCCATCATATTGGACCTGGTGATCACAGTGTCGTGTATGGCCTTGGTGAATTATCAGTTGTTGAGCCTACAGCAAACTATACGGTGTTTTGGGTTACTGGCTTCGTTACTCTACCATGCTGAGTGTTTTTGTAGTTATTAATACCTTTAAGGTTGTCCTCCACTCTTACCTCGTCAGCATCGTTCAGCCTCCCCAACACGTCGAGTGTGACAACAGATTTTATTCGATCTATTAGTAAGTTGACCAGATCTTCGTAATTTTCCTTCGAGTTTTTGACTGCCAGAACCAAGCTAAACAATCTACAATCTAGACCACAGGTTCTCAACTTTTTAGGGTAACGACCATTTATTCCCGAAAGCCTAGTGCCCCCCCCCAGCCCGTGAAATAAATTTTAAAAAATATATCGAACACCAATTGCATCATATTGAATATAGTTTTAAGTTAACTGATTTTTTTGTGACCCTACGGGAAACCCGTTGCGACTCTTATAGGTGTCTTGTTCCAAATGTTGGGAACCTTTGATCTAAACGTTCGTCCTATTTCAGCATTATAAGACAGGTGTTATCTAGAATCTCGCTCGTCTTAGTACCACTTTTTATTTATGTTTTTTTTACTGTTTTTTAAATCTTGGGCTTTAACCGTGTATATATACGTCTTCCAACTTACCATACAGACTTAGTAAGCTGCAACTTTGGGTATGTATGTAAGGTTATATCACTGGCTTTTGAAGTCGGTTACACGATCTCAGCACAATTGAAATAGTCATTGTAAATAGCAATCGTAGTAAACAGTAGTCATGGTAAATGTTATAGACCTGTCAGAATGGAAGCTATAAAGTACAAAAAGTTCCCTTTTGAACCTGACGTTCCATGGGGTAAGTGAAGTAGAATCAAGGGATATTGTGGTCAGCACTGCGCACAGCTGCCGTTAATATTTCCGTACGTGATTCGGGTACCCATTAGGGCTGGGTGGACTCCCGGACGTTCTACGTACTTTGACCCGGATTCGAACTCGAGACTTTCGGGTTAGCAGTCGTATTCTCTACCATTCGACTACTCCGTCCCACAATGGGAGTTATGTAAGCTGACCATAATGCAGATTTTGTAAGCTGCATATATTACATGTCATGCAAACGTGTAATACTGGAGCTTATGTAAGCGGGTTATATTAAACGTTATGTAAGCAGGTTATATTACTTGTCGTGTACGCGGGTCGTATTACAAATTATGAAGGATTTGGCGTACACATATCATATTAACTGGTTATTATACAGTTGAGTCATATCATAGCACCTTTAAAATGCTCAGAATGTAATTTTAACGGGTCATATCATGTGTAAGTAGGTTTTAGTATACGCAGCATAAAAACATTTTATGAACGCATACATATACAAACAAACATACACAACCGACCGAGTGACCGACCTACTTACCAACGAACAGACCGACCACCCGACAAACTTACCAATTGACTTATTGACTAATTGAATGACTGACCGATTAACCAACTGACCGACGGACTGATTAACTGAGTGACTGATTGACAGACTGGCAGGCAAATGTAATGATTGTGTAGTGAACATTAAGAAAGACAGGGCTCTTGGGGGCACCACGGACTGGAGGCCGGATACCATCTCAATAAATTCAACTTTGGTGTCCGCGTGAAGGTACTGACTGGATGATTTTAATAACTCCTGGTATGTATACGTTTATGTTGGAGACAAATAGATACTTTTAACGCAGATAGTGCTTAATGAAGTTCTAAAAAAGGAGCTATGGATATAAAAATGAATAAGATTACATCGTCACATTTTGTTTCAAACTGCCAATCCAGTGTATATAGTTAGGTTCCAAATAAAATAATCCGGTAATCATAAAAAAAAATTACAATAGATCTCGCTGCTTGAACAATCAGACTTGATTGGTGTGATCTCATGTTACATTTATTTTAAAATATAAAGACAAACGTTTTCCTATGTGATTTCCTTTAGCGTGTCACAACGAAATAAAGTTCAGATACGTTCGTGACGAAGAACAAAAAAGGATATGAGAAGAACATATTTTGCCTGCGGTTTTGTGTTGAGAATGTGGGAATAAATGTTAAGTGTTATGTTTAACACTCCTGAAAACCAATCCTCTACTCCACCACCGCATGCCTACCTCGAGTAATCACTGGCAACTGAACTAACTTAATCTTATTATGCGAGAGCACAATAAAAAAAACACAGTCAATTGGACGACTATTAAATCGGCTATTGGTAAGCTCAGTAATATACTATTTGATATTTTTTTCTATTTATATCGAGTTGCATCAAAAATATAATGGCACATAAATAAATTGTTTTCAATGTTATTTTTTTACTAGAATAAAAAGAAGTGACCATGTTTAAAAAACTGGTTAATGAACACAAAAATTTAGTTAAAAATAATCTGCTTTTATAACGCTATAGTGTTTTTCATAATCTTTTATATAACATGAAAAACAATATGTACAAATATGTATTTATATGTGGGTGCATGTGTGTATGCATATACGTGGCTTTGTTAACGTAAAATCAATTCTTTTTCGTATGCATAGGTTTACTCAACAAAAACAAATGAAATGGTAAAAAGTTTTAATACGTACAGATTAATAACTAAGCATAAATCTCAATAACTCCATATCTTGAATTCATGGACAATATTATGCTACTGCAAGTAGTAATGGCTTTACACAAATATGTTTGCATTTCAGAATATCAGAAAGATCTCTCTCTCTCTCTCTCTCTCTCTCTCTCTCTCTGTACGCACTGTGCTGCGGCAATATATTTACGATGAATTTAATATATAAATTTTTGATCTTTAATTTGCACAATTTATTTCCGTAACGTAACGTTGAGAAACATTCCACCTTCTGCCTGCATTGTGACAACGGGGAGTCTACGAACTTTTTTGTTGGCATCCACCGAAAGCTTAAACCTAGATCAGTTAAACCATTTTTATTTCAGGCAAAGATTATACTGATTTAATAAGAAAAGAGTATTACCAGTTCGAAGCCCTAATTTAATTCAAAAAATAGGCTGTTTAATTAGACATTCATTTCTAAGCATTAACAAATAAAAATAAACAGTTCATTAGAGAAACAAAAATTAACCTAATTATCATGGATGAAAGTTTTAAAATTGTTCTTAAAATATTTAAAACTGGCGTTGTTAAGCATATACTATAGAAAACCGTACTTACTTTTTGATTATTTTACAAATAGTTGTTTTCATTTCATTCATTGCAAAATTTTGACCAATACAGTTTCTGTGAAAAAAATAATGTGAACTGATAAGTTGAATTTAGTTTCAAAATTTTTATTTGACCATAAATTTTCTCACAGTACAGAGTAACAATGTAGCTTGCTAAATACTAAATTAAGAGCTTGTTTCCGTAGATATGGATGGGAGTAAATTAAAATGTAAAGTACAGAAAAAAAGTAAAATATCGTTAGGCTCAATCGTTTTAAAATAATAGGTTTAAATTTGTGTTTTTTAATTTAATTGACATATTTATTTTCTTTCGTGGGTTAATTAATTTATTTTTAAATATTTACAAGAAGGTATGCTTATTCAGTCCAATTTACTAAAGATAAATTAGTTCATGTGCAAGAAACAAAAATATTTATTCTACCTTGGGCCTGCAGCAAATGGCACAAACTGAAACGGATCAAGTTTAACCTGGTTATCAGGGTTAAACCGCTCTGGGTTAAACTCTTCAGGGTTTTCCCAAATATGAGGGTTATGATGAAGGAGCCAGATGTGGATTGCAATACGAGTACCTAGAGGAGAGTTAAAGTTTTGTTTTTTGTAGGTTTTGTTTTTTTTTCTCGTTTGGTTGCCTAGCATTGAATCAACAATTGGTTTTTGTTTTTGTAAAATAGCACCAATCAGCAATAAAACACAACTAAAATAATTCTAAAGCAAAAATGGCTTTTAATATATATATATATATATATATATATATATATATATATATATATATATATATATATATATATAAGAAATAGCTACGTTAACAAATAAACTTTCTTAATAAACGGTATTAAAACTTAGAAATATGTCTTTGTTTAACATCATTTTTAATACTAAAGAAATTTTACTATATAATGAAATCCAATCTCATGTTTAAAAAGAATAAAATAACATTTTATAGTAAAGATCTCGTACTTATATTAAGCCATATTTGTCCATAAAATGAGCAGCAATTACAATTTAAAAAACTAGCTACTTTGTCAACTATTCCTAGGTTGCTACCTGTTTGTTTTACCTGCAGGATCAGTGCAGTCATATTTACCTTTAGGTAGTATCTGTCCATTAATGCTACAATCTTCCACCGTTTCTCTCTCTATGTACGGCACTGCGGGGTGAAGACGAAGACTTTCTTTTATACATTTTGTTGTGACCTCAAGTTTAGGCAAGTCGTTCCTGTGTTGGGATACAGTATTTTAAATATCAAAAGGTAGACTCATATCTTTTATAATCATGGCTGAAAAAATGCAGCAGAATATCTCCACCCCTAAAAAATGCCAACCGCTATGTACATTACACCCCTCTCGACCTAAATTGGTTCTAGAACAAGGTTTAAGTTAAGATTAAGGTTTAAGGTTTAGGTTAAGGTTTAGGTTTAGATTTAGGTTTAGGTTCATAGTTTAGCTTTGGGCTTAGCTTTAGAGTTTATGTTTAGCGTTATTCTTAAAGTTACAGTTAGGGAACCTGGTTTATGAACAAGGAGATCAATATGTGTAAGGATAACGATAGGTATAAGTATAAAATGTTATTTCAATGAAGGGTGGATAAATTGGGTATTTCATCTTAGAGGTAATGACGGAGGGCAGGGTGAATACCGAACCGGACTAACACCATAGTCCCAAGCATTAAACACATAAACTTTACTTACCATTCCAAGTGTTCTCTACCATCTAGAACTCTGACCACCTCCTCGTATACCTTCTCCTGGTACTCCGGGTGCTTGGCCAACTCGTAGAGTGCAAAGGTCATTCCACTTGCGGTGGTGTCGTGGCCTAAAGAAGAGAACATTTTTGATCCCAGTTATGTTTATAGAGAACAGCGTCATTCGGATCCCAGGATTGCTGTTGTAGGAAATCACTTAATCTACATGGGTCTTATATGTTCTTGATTACCTTTAGTAATGGTAAGGTGGCAGGGCATAGCACTGAACATAGTATTCCTCAAAAACTGCACTTTTTCAACCCCATTTATCGCCAGGTTCGAACGGGTACTGTACTTGATTTTATTCTCTTTAAAATAACCAATGTGTGAATTTGTCTGATTCGCATTCATTATGCAATTTTTTTTTGTTATCCATTGTCAAACTTGAACACGATGGAATTTTTTTTTTTCATTTAGCATCAGAATTTTGATATGTTTTTTCTTGTGGTTTTTATAATACACCCACCATTCATATTACCTAATCTTGGATATACATATATATATATATATATATATATATATATATATATATATATATATATATATATATATATATATATATATATGAAAAATGATGTTAAAGCTTAAATATGACTTCCTCTGGATTTGAATATTTTTTTTCCAGAATGGTCAGCTGATAATAATTTGAGCTAATGTGCGAACACCTATATGAAACATATTTTATATTGTAATTTTCATGTTTACCTTCGAACATAAATGTGTCCACTTCGTTTCTGATTTCCAAGGGACTTAACCCCTTTCCATCTTCGTCCTGTGCTATCAATAAAATATCTAAGAAATCCTTGATCTTTCTCTTTGAAACTTCTTCTAGCTTCATGTCCTTTAAAAAAATAATAACATTTTGATCACAAGGACGAATGTTTGATATTATTAAAATGGTGACGTGCAGTGGAGAAAGGCATGAAAAAAAATAGTTTCAAAATTTAACAGAGAAATAGATTTGTAACAAGTGTAGTTTTTATATACAGTGTGAGATTTGAGAGTATCTACGACAAAACTATAGATGAAATATAATGTCCGGTCTTTGAGATAAAAACAAGCTTTAACTTATTTGACTGCAACAATGGAAAATGATTATGTACTTATTTTAAGATTTAATAATTGTTTTAGCCAACTAATTGACATTTGATCTAAACATATTATATAACTAACCAATTGTCGTTTCCGTTTTTCAATAACTTCCTCTGCAAATTTATGAGCGGCTTCACAAAGCTTATGAAACTTTTTCCCATCAGCAGAAAACTTGTAGATGAGGTCAATAAAATGGTGGGGATTTCTACAAAGTGAGTTTGGTAATTTTTCATTAGTTTAGTAGAGGTCTATCAACAAGCTATATAGATGTTCTTAGAAAATAGATTTTAGGATAGTAATATTAGAGTATAGGGGCATAAGACTAAACGAAGAATTTTTACAAACTGTGTTGGGGAAAGTAATTTAATTTTAAATGATGAAATAGAAGTCTTTACATAATCTGGAATGTTTTACTAAAAAATGGGCTAAAATGAATAAAGATGGCGTTAAATATATTGTTAAGGCGGTGATTTTATAAAAAAAAGCCTGAACCTATACGTTTAGATTTATGGCCGCTAGTATTGAAGACACTTTTTATTGTGTAGATATTTATTCAAATAAATTTTTAACTCAAAGCATAACACTCCTGAAAGGGATTATTGAATTTTTACGCGATTTTGCATCGAACACGTATTAATGTTATTAATATTATTCAAATATACTAATGTATTCTGATTAATATTGTTATCCGTAAAAAAAAAAAAAAAACGGACAGAAAAGTTTTCAGATGAAATAACATTTGATCTATTTGACAAATTGATGTTAGAATAAACTGCTATCTAGTCTACACAATAATAGAAAAATTGTACAATGATATAAAGATGAGAAGACACAACTTACAACGATCTTGCTGTCCATAAGTTCTGTAGGTCTGTTATGAGCGTGGAGTAGTTGTTGTTGGATCTATTCAAAATATGTCAATTATATTTGTGATATCAGTTCATTTGTTAGTGTAGAATAGCAGTTGTCGTCTTACGAATAACACGAATATTGTTTCATGTAATTTGAAGAGGGAAATCTATTTTCGTTTTAAAAAAATGTAATTACCGCTTAAATCACAAGCGTAAAGATTAGAGTTTTAAATGTTGTAAGCATAACTAAAAGTTTTTCATGCATGAGTATTTGTCGTAAAATTATCAAAGTAAAATAAAACATCTTTTAATAACTCTGGTCTTTTCTCTAATAAATATTATGTTTAATAACTTCCATAACAAATATTTCTCTCGAAATCACATTTTGTTCTGTATATTTATTTGCGTTTACATTTTTTTTACTCTTGCCTCTACCTCATAAATTTTCAAAAAACAAAAGGTGGTAGTGTTATAAAGAAATTTCCAATTTCTATTTGAAATTATTAGGTCTTATTAACATACTTGATAGACTAACAAAAACACGATTTATTTAACAAATGTGTAGATTAATTGTGTATTAAGAAATACCCTTTTTACGATATTGAACATGTGTTTAAAAGTAAACAAGTATATCTGTCATTTGGTTGTATGGATACACACCTGTCTATTTGACAGTTCGACTCATATGAAAAAGCACATCTCAGGATCACATCCAATGCGTCCAAATTAATCAACGGGTAAATATTGATTGGCTCCCCTTTCTTGCACAGCTTTGTTAATTTTTCCTAGAATTAAAAAAATGGCATTGTAACAATGTCCAGATAACCAGCTAGTTTGGACTCCCGGTAACCACGGTAACCCATGAGTAGTGGTTCTTAAATTTTATGGAGGTACCGAACCCCACCAGTTTCATATATACATTTCCCGAACACCTCTTAAAAGTTCTTTCGTCCGCAAAAAGAAAATCCTACCGTGAATCTTGTGAGTTGGGTGAATATCTTGTTCTCCGCCAAACACATGAGACCTACTCACCGAACCCTTGGGGTTTGATCAAACCCAGGTTAAGAACCATAATTCTATTCATCAATTACATGTTACTCGAACTTGTTTGTGTTTAAGTATTTGTGTGTGTGCGTTTTTGTATGGTGTGTTTCTGTGAGTGCATGTTGGTGTGTGTGTTTACACCTAAGCATGTGTGTGTTTATGTATGTGCTTGTATGCGTGTGTGTGTATTTGTTTTGCATCGGAGCATGTATTTGAGTGTGTTTGTGTGTGTGCTTATACCCGACCATGCACATGCACACAAAATACTCACAATCAATATATCTGAACATGTTTGGTAGATGGACAAGTAAGGTTTGAGTATGTCGAAATGGAAGGCAGGAGTCAGCAGACGACGATTTCTTGCCCAACGGTCACCATTGGTTAAGAGAAGCCCCTCTCCGAGCCAGCGTATCCCCATATCGTAAGCCGACGCTAGAAAATAGCCACGGGGTTTTCCCGCTGGTAAAAATAGAACACATCTCATTATATTGACAACATATTCTTTGAATAACATTTGAATGTGCTCATTACACTTACTTAGACACACACAAATAAATAAAAATGCTTTGTAAATTTGTATTTGTTTCCGGAACATAATACCTTAACCTGATTTACAGTATTTCCGTTAACTCTAAACGATTCTATCATTTTTTGTTCTTTTAACCCCTTAACGGCGAATGTCGCTAAAACGCGATGTCTTATTAAATTAATTTGATATTTTCCCTCGTTTGTTGAGCTGTCGGTGGTTTTCTTGCAGATTTGCCTATCTTCTATCCAAGAACAACCTTCAAGACAGCAGTTGCTTGGTTTTGGAGTTATCTCTCTTAGATTGGTTCTGTATCCATCTATCAAACCACAAATAAATACCCTGTAGCTCAAACTCAGGACTTTTCAGCTTTGCAACCATGAGCGTTACCGACACGACCACAAGGATTCCTCTTTATTTCTTGCCATCCATTTCTCCACCAGACTCTCATTCTCACAAACAAAACTCTATATGTGTTTGCCCCATCGCATTTTTTCAAGTCACGAAATTTCTTCCGATTCATTTCTATTTTTTTCCACTTGGCTGAACGAGTCATTACATAGGTCACGGTTAACATGTTTAAAACCAGTACGTTGGCCCTCAATTTGTTCCACCTGACCTATTTTATGTTATGGTTCGTTGAATCTGGTGAACTAAGGCCAGAAAAAAATCTCTTGGGACACACATTCTTATACGAGACAGATTTTATAACAAGCGTTTCATTCGAAAGGAGGCCAGTCTGCTACACACCTACACACCTACATACATATACAGCTACACACCTACATACATATACAGCTACACACCTACACATCTACATAATATACAGCTACACACCTACATACATATACACCTGCACACCTACACACCTACATACATATACAGCTTCACACCTACATACATATACAGCTACACACGTACCTGCATATACACCTGCACACCTGCACACCTACACACCTATACAGCTACACACCTACAAACCAGGTAAGCCCACACTCTTCGCTTAAACAGTGGTTACATTTTAATTGACACCATCACAACTTTCAAACCTTACATTTTGACAAAGTAACATCGTTAAGTGGGTAGTCTCCGGAGATAAAAAACGAGGGGAAAAAATGAGCCTTTTTCATTTATTTGTTTATGTATTAGTTAAGGTACCTTAGGGAAAATATTTGCATGAGTCTCTTTCCGAAAATATGGTTGCCATGGCAACAGCGGCCATCTTGGAAAAATAACCTTTTGTGGAGTTCTAAAATTTCATCTACTAACATATATATTGGCCATATATTCATTGACCCTTCTTTTTCTAACACTAATAGAGTCAGCTGGCTAGTTTTTTAAATAGAAAACCCGTTAGAAATATAATATTATTTCAAATTTTATAAAACAAAGGTATGGTGAAATACCGTTAAATTTTGCATTGTTTTTAAAAATTTTTCGCCATACCAAGTTTTGAAAATTAAAAAGAAATATTTCTAATAAAACCTATTGGTTAAGAACTTTGAATTTTCTGGAGCCTACCCCCTTAAGTATATTCACCAAAGATCTGACTGTTTTACGAAGTTACAACGTTAGGTATTCACTAAAATTGATTTATTCACCATAAACCTACCTGAAGATTTGAACACAGGACGTACAGACTCAGGGTGGTAGACAAACAAGACGGGTGTTACTGGACCAAACCATTCAAAATGGCAGTAGCAGTTTTTCTTCACTCTCTCCAATAAATATTCCAAGCCCTCTTCGTTTAATCCCGGGAACTGCGAGGCAAAGAATACCAAGAAGAGAAGGTTCAATAACTATAAGAGAACTAATATCATTATCAGATTTAATGACAACTGTTCAAAATTTTGTTGAAACATTAGCATTGTTTTGTAATTTTACTGTTTTAGTGACCTATATTTTATTTAGTTTAACTATAATAGTAATAATAAAAAAAATAAAAATAAAAAAAAAATATAAAAAACCACCAAAAAAAAAACCACCAAAAAAACAAAAAAACAAAAACAAACAAAACAATGACTGATTGAATTTCTCGACCCTAGTCCTGAATAGATTTTTAGATTTTTAGATTTGTCTTTTGTCACATACAGCAGGTTTAGATTAGAAAAACAATGGTTCTTATTGCGTTCTTTACCTTAAAGATCATTAAATATTACATTTACGATTGAAGAAAAAGCAAAATAGAAAAGTATTTTTATAGTATTATTTAAAATACATAACAAATCCATTTATACTTGCTACATAACAAGAACACAATAAAGTTTTTACATCGTTATTACCCGTCTAAGGGTTCAGCGCCTGAGGCAGACGCCCCACAGCCCCCCCCCCAAGCTACGCTCTTGAATAAAACAAAATTAAGTAAACTTACGTCGTGCAGTGTCCCCGTGATCCACCGAAACTTGGTAGAAATTGGAAATTTCGCGAAGGTTTTGTTGTATTCTGTTAGTGCTTTTCTTTTCTTGATGAACACATAAAACAACACGGCAGCCAACAAAAAGTAGAAAATAAACATGTTTGTTTGCTTTGAATAGAGTATTAACAACGATTAGTGTTGGTTCTTAATGCTAAAACTATTTTGCTTGAATATTGTTCGTCAATAGTAATTATAGTAGTCCCACAGCTAGCTCATGTATAAAGAAATCTATTGTAACAACACTTGTATTCCCACGGCTAGCTCATCTATCAAAACATCAATTGTAGCAACACTTATAGACACGTATCAAGAAACACTACAAACTGATTTATCCAACCAACTAGCACTGACGTTTGACCATACTAGCCATGAAAAACTTCCACTTTAATCAACTCCCACGTTGTAACTGCACTGCCAACAACAACCTAGAATCTACAATCTAGATCACGGGTCCCCCAACTTTTTGTGTGCCGACCCCCCTTTACAAAAACTCCGCGACCCCGATACAATATTTAAAAAATACATATAGCATTTAACACCACTTTTAGTAGTGAATATATTTTTTACTTTACTAACGTAGTTTGCGCCCCCCCCCCCCCACATAAAACCCTTATCAACCTCCATAGGTGCCTCGTCCCATAGTTTGGGAACCCATAACCGCACACTTTAGGCACTACAACTCAAGCGTTACCAAAAATCTCGTTCGTTTAAGCAGTCTTAATACATTTAAAAGAAAAAAATAAATCAGTCGTGGTTTTACCGTAAACGTTTTGAAGGTTACCAGGTGAACTTAGTAGGCCTACGCTATAACTGTGGTTTTGTGTATAAGGTTATTTCACAGGCCGGTTCAGACGGTTAAATCTTGCGTTATAACCATCACAACACAGTTCATACAGGCGTCATAGCGCGGGTTATGTACGCTGGTCTTAGTACAGGTTTTAAATAATTGGGTCATAGTACGCGGAATTTAAGAGGTTCAAGTCAAAGCATAATTTATGTAAGTGGGTAACGGTATGGGTAACTAAAACTGGCCATATCAAATCGTTTATAAGGTTCATAGTATAGGTAACTTAAACAGGCAATATCACATTGTATATAAGTGGGTCACAGTATGGGCAGGGGCGGAACTACAGTGCCGCCAGACCCCGCGGGGGGCCCAGACCGATTGGCGCCCCAAAAATCCTGGCTAAATTATTTTTAAAAAAATTAAAAAAAAAGAAAATTAGGTGAAGGTCGAGTTATCTTTCTTCTACAGTTACAAACAAACATGATAGTCGGCAAACGTCTTTGAGAAAAATGCACAGACTATAGCTCGAGAGACATATAGACAACTTTAAAAACATAGCCTACCGTTCAGAGGCGTATCCAGGTTTTCGTTGTAGGGGGAGCGAAATGAGCAAAAAAAGGCGCCGAATTTTTAGCACGTTCTATATACATGGAAACTATATATATATATATATATATATATATATATATATATATATATATATATATATATATATATATATATATATATATATATATATATATATATATATAAAGTTTCCAAAAAGGCGCCACTTGGCTGAAAATGGCCAGAGGGGGAGCCGCTGCTCCCCCTGCTCCCCCCTGCGTACGCTACTGCTACCGTTCTTTTTAGTGGCGTCGATTAGGAGAACAAAAAAGCATTGTTATGTTGTTTGCATTTTTAAAATACATATCTACTGGCCTGAATTCTACAAAAATATAATTATTTATTTCGATCTCATACATTGATAATTGCGTTCATTTTTACTGTAACAATTGTATCAATTAACTTGTAAAAGTTTAAGTTATCTCCCGTCGGCGAAGCATCTGAAATTTGACTGTGCCGGCACGCTTTGAAATCGGGCTGGGGAAATGTTGCGGCGACTATCCTGGTCTTCTAGACGACCGGAAAAAGTCGGCACTATTGATGTAGATGTTTATCGGCGCTTTCTTGCCCCCTTCCCTTGAACCTTCCCAACTCTCCCCCCTCACCCCTACCCCTCACCTCTACCCCTCACCACACCCTTACTCTTAGAATAAGATTAACGAACCGTCTATGAACTACTGAACTGTAAACCGACCACTTCTGCACATTTTGTTAAAGACACTAGTCAGTAGTTGTTCATTTACCCGATGAACAGGGGCGGAACTACAGTGCCGCAAGACCCCGCAATGCGGGAGGGGGGGGGGTGCAAGCCGTTTAGGGGCCCACGGCTGACCAAAATAACTATTTTTAAAAATTTTGAATTTAATTTTCGTGCATTTTTGCCTTAATAAAAGAAAAACACTGTAGCTGCGGTACGATTATCTTTATTTTACAGTCACTATACCACGCTCTTCCGCAAAAGATACAATCCATTACACAAACTGCAGTGTAAAATATAGGCAACTCTTCAAATTTGAATGACTTCTTTGACTCATTGCCCCCCCCCTTTGATAGCTAAATAGAGGACAAGTAACTGTTTGACCGATCCTCCAAAGTGTGCTGTGGCGGATGGGGCAGTGTATGGGGACAAAAAAGGGGGTTCAAAAATTGTCGTCAAATTTGTTACATATTTAAAACAGTTATTTATAGTTGTATTTTTTAACCATCGTCAAGGCCGAGTTCTATTTCTCTACAATCAAACACACGCTGTCGCCGGCAAAATTCTTTAAAAAAAAAACAAAGTCCATAGAACGAAAAGCCGCTACATATAAAGTGGGCTTTCATGATGCGCGGTTCTTCTTTGCGGCATTGGTAAGGGACCCGAAATCCATTGTACATTTTTCAATCTTAATATGTGTTTGTGATAGTGGTTGAATTTGTATCCTGTACTATCTTGTATCCTAAAAATAATAAAAAATAATATAATACTTGAAACTTCAGTTTACTTGTTTTTGCTTTTACAATAAATATCATAGTAAACTTTTAAGGCCTATACTTGGAATTATCTCACCTGAGTAAGTTTTACTATGTGCGATGCTGACGTACATAGATCAAGGCGTTTTGTTGTCTCTTTTAAGTTTTTTCCCGAGCCGACCCCCATCCCATCACTCTTTCTCAACCTCGCAAATATCGAGGAGATAAATGTATCGTTTATGAAGTACTTCCTAACCGTACGATTCACCACTTCAGCACATTTGGTCAGACACTAGACACTGATATTAATTTACTTTCACAGTATTAGGCACATCTAATTCACAAAACAGGGCGGGTAAGATTATTCTTTATATAATTATTTAGAAATTAATTAGAACGTTTAGAATTAATTGAACATTACATCATTAATAGTAAATTACTATTTATAAATGACGTCATTGAGGTGGGGATGTGTAAGGGGTCTGGCTTTTTGTTAGTCGCCCCCTCCCCTAAATCAGAAGGTTATCCAACGCGTGACCTGGCCACATACAGTTGTACATGTGAAAAACATTTTTTCTGTCTATTATGCATTACTGCATCATTCACCCAATCGCCATGAAAACGTGGGAAGCTGTTGAGTAGAGCCCCGCAAAGGTTTCTGTCATAGGCCTAACATTTGTACATATTGGAGTGGGGACTCCTAACGAAAATATGTGATTTAGCGCCCCGTGATCCTGCATAAGCGGATGAGGCTACTACTTGAATCAACCGGCGGCAGTGTCATCCTGAGCGCATCACATATGAGCAGGTTGACCCCCACAGACAGTCGTTTAAAAGTTCCCACAACACTAGGAAGCAGGGGCGGAACTACAGTGCCGCCAGACCCCGCAATGCGGGGGGGGGGGGGGGGGCTGCGCCATTTAGGGGCCCATAGCCGACCACAAAAACTTTTTTATTAAATAATTTTCTTGCATTTTTGACTTGACGTTAAATGCTTTTTGTAAATAACAAACAGATCTACTACTGTAGTGGTGGTATACAGTAGCTAACACATGCTGTTGCGTTAAAAAATATATGCCTGAGCTGTAGTGTGAAAGATAGGCAAACGTACAAAACACTTCCATGTCTTATTTCCCTTTTTTAAATAGTTAAATAGGGATGCTCATAAGCTCCTTTTAATGTATTTGTAATAAAAAAAAAATGAAAAAGCAATTACTTCTCTTAATTATTTTATTTAAAAAATACATACTAAAGAATGACATAGCATGAAAAGGAAATATATTTAAACAATAAAAATAAACATAACACGACAAACCATTACCAATACAAAGCTTAAACGTTTTATATTCTTTGAACCGCTATTAAGTAGAGGGTTGGCAGTAATACAGCAAACATTTAATAAACTACTTCCAAATTTAATTAAAAATTTAAACAGACTAATGCACTCATACACATGACATGTTGTAATTTGTTTAAATTGAAAAAAAACATTTTCTTTTCAAAACCCGATCAGGCCTGAAATGAGTATCCAATGTTTGTATTCTGTGTTTGTATATATGGGGCCCTAGAAATTATACACACACACACACACACACACACACACACACACACACACACACACACACACACACACACACACACATATATATATATATATATATATATATATATATATATATATATATATATATGTATATATATATATATATATATATGTATATATATATATATATATATATATATATATATATACATATATATATATATGTATATATATACGTATATATATATACATATATATATACATATATATATATATATATATATATATATATATATATATATATATATATATATATATATATATATATATATATATATATATATATATATATATATAGGGGCCTAGAATTTTTTTTTGCGGGGTGGCACTTTTTTTCTAGTTCCGCCACTGAACTGGCCATATCACATTCTATGTAAGTGGGTCATGGTATGGGTTATTTTAACTGGCCATATCACATCATAATTACGAAAGTGGGTCATAGTATGGGTAACTTAACCTAGCCATATCACATTCTATGTAAGTGGGTCAAGGTACATTACATGCACCCTGCCAATAATGAACTTAGTTTATAAACACACACAGTGACACATACACCAACACACACACAAACAAAATCACGATGAAAAAAAAAATACTCAATGTTATTGCGCGTACGCTTAAAAAACTGTACTCATAAGTGTTGACTAAAATTGTGTTACAAATTCCTGACTAAAACAGCCCTCCGTGTAAAACTAAGGACAGATCAACAGCGAGGCTTAGCCACAGCTTGATTAAAAAATATTATTTGTTTAATAAAAAATATTTCATAATAATTTTAAATTTTAAATTATAAAAAAAAAAAACCCAAATAAAAACAATTGTTCGAGAGTAGAATGTGCGGTCTAAGGGAAGTAACCCTGTAATTATGACTGCAATATGTTCGAGAGTTATTGTAAATGTTAGGTTTTACATCCGGAAAACAAAACAAAACAACACTCTGTTTGAGGGGTTACTAGCATTTTACTCTATTGTGACGCGTTGTACATTTTTGTACACATATAATAATTTCCATAATATTTGACCGAAGGAGATGAAACTTGGTATACGATATCATTTTCCATAAATGGGATAATTTATTGAACTAAAGTCCTAAGGCCATGACGAAAGGGGATAATGCATTTCAAAAAAAAAAAAAAAAAAAAAAAAAAAAAAAAAAAAATTCAAAGTAAATTTTTTTTTCACATTTTATGACAATACAAAAATAAATGCTGCTTTAAATATATCACTCAAAACCCTCTTAGCACGTGTTCATAAAAAAACTGATTTTTATACTTCCTTTATGAAATAGGACGAGAGAGCGAGACGCCAGTCTGGTTTGAACTG